AATGAATGAAATGAAATGGAAGTAGTTCCATGTGGAAATAGACAGCACAGCTCTAGACACTTTTCAGGTACATTTCTGAGACTGATCAGTCTGAGCAGAATAAAGATGTATCGAAAGAGAAATACTTGTCAATCCTTCTACTGGGTATTTACCCCAAAGACTTGAAAATCCATATCCGAAAAGATATTTACACAGCGATGTTCATAGCAGCACTATTCATAGTGGCCAGGACATGGAAGCAACTGAAGTGTCCTATGATAGATGACTGGCTAAAGAAGCTGTAGTACATATATACAATGGAAAATTATTCAGCCATAAGAAGAGATAAACTACTGCCATTTGCAACAACCTGGATGGACCTCGAAATAATCATGCAAATGAAATAAGCCAGACAGAAAAAGTTGAAAATCACATGATATCATGTATATGTAGGATATAAACCTAAAAGCAACAAATGAATAGGACAAACAGAGAATCAGGGACATGGACAATGGACTAGTGGTTACCAGAGGGTAGAGGGTGATAGAGGAGGGAAGAGGTAGACAGGATAAAGGGGGTCAAATTTAGGGGTTTGGGGGAGGGTGAAGTGGGTAAAGGGGATCAAATATATACTAGCTGAAGGAAACTGGACTCTGGGTGATAATCACACAATAGAATATATAGATGTCAAATTATAATGTGCACCTGAAAATTATATAATTGTATTAACCAATGTTACCCCAATAAACTTAAAAAATAAGATTGTTATAATAAAAAAAAAGAGAAATGCTTTTAAAGCACCCAGCATAGTACCTGAAAGATTCTCTTATATTTTTATTCTTTACATTTAATTGCCTACTGTGCATAAGTACTATCTCAGGTACTGGGGGTACAGTGCCAGCTGTACCTGCGAAGAGCTCACAGTTTAGTGGGGACATGCAGATAAGATATTTTACCCTAGTGGGGTAAGTGTATTCACAGGGGCTATGGGTGCAGCAGAGAGAGGTCTCTAACACAGATGAGTGGTCAGGAAGGGCCATTACACCCACTGCTGGCAGCAGAAGTAGCTCTGAGGCAAACCAGGGAAAACTCAAAACTAGGGCCAATTTGTTTTCTTTGGAAATTTCCCCCTTGTGTCTTTTTGTGTTGCTTAATTCAATTTCTCTTCTGCAGCCACATTTTCTTCACCTGCGGACATTTTTTGATGATTGTTTTATTGGTAGTTACTAACCATGAGTGATTTGGAGGGAGGGGGGCTGGTGAACTCTGTTACACACAAAGTGACATCAACTCCTACTGTGGTTTGGTTGTGGAATACTGTTACTTGGTTTAAACTAACAGCTCCGTTAAAATAGCCAGTCTGTGAAGAAGCCATTACCGATTGGTTGGGCTGGCTGAAGCTCGCTGTGATAGTGATGCACACTCATAGGAGTGAGGGCTGTTCTAATTACTTGTGTGGAGAAGGAGGATCTCATGCCCATTTACATATTTTACACAATAGTTTGATTTGTTCAAAGTTAGTATGTGACTAAGAAGAGATGAAATACTGCCGTTTGCGACAACCTGGATGGACCTCAAAATAATCATGCTAAATGAAATAAGCCAGACAGAAAAAGTTGAAAATCACATGATATCATGTATATGTAGAATATAAACCTAAAAGCAACAAATGCTTTTAGGACAAACAGAGAATAGGGACAAACAGAGAATCAGGGACATGGACAATGAACTAGTGGTTACCAGAGGGTAGAGAGTGGGGGAAGAGAGAAGAGGTAGACAGGGTAGAGGGGGTCAAATATAGGGGGGTTGACAGAGGGTGAAGTGGATAAATGGGATCAAATATATGGTAGCTGAAGGAAACTGGACTCTGGGTGGTAATCATACAATAGAATATATAGATGTCAAATTATAATGTGCACCTGAAAATTATATAATTATAGTAATCAGTGTTACCCCAATAAACCTAAAAAAACCCCACAAAGTTAATATGTCACATCTAGCCAGAGACTTCTGCAACTAACACATGCTCATGTAAAAACAGGTACAGTTTTATATTGTATGGTTTCCATAATCATACTTGTATATAAAAAGCAGGACGATGTGTGTGATTCCTTCTCCCATGAGGCCAGGGGATGCTCATGTGGTCTGGCTTGGTTGTGTGAAGCCCTGGTCTATGTGAGTTCCTGAAGGTTACCTGCTTTGACTGTGGCAGTGTTGCCTCTGCTGGGTGAAAGTGTAAATTGGTATAGCTCTTCTGAAAAGCAGCTTGCCATATATCAGTAGCCTTAAAACATCCATGCCCTTTGGCCCAGTGATTCTACTTCTGGGAATCTATCCAAAGGAAGTATTTGGAAATGTATGCAGCAAAGACTTTGCCCAGGGATGTTGTGCAGAGTAATTTGTAGTTGCTAAAGACAGGAAATGAACGACTAACTGTAATAATATGCAGCCATGAAAATGATGTTCACAGAGTTTTGCTATAACACTAATTAGGAAAAAAGCAGAGAAGCAATAGCTGCAGAGGCTAAGCAAGCACCCAAGAGTCTGAATCCTGGGTTTGAATCCTGGCTTTGCCACTTAACTAGCTTTGTGACTTGGGCAAATCACCTAAACTCTGTGGTGTTGATAAAACATACTTGCCTCAGAAGGACTTCTGAGGATTAAATGACATGGTGAATATAAAATACTTAATACCTGCAAAGTACGTTTTAAGTCCCAATAAATATTGGCCATCTGTGGATTATAGAATTTCAAGGCATAAAAATAGATGGGAAGTAAACATGTCAATATATTAACAGTTTGGAATCTGGGTATTTGGATTGCGGGTGCTCTGTTTGATTCTTTGCATATTTTTTGATTTCCTAAATTTTCTGCATTAAACATAAATTACTATTATACTACATCATAATGATGTATTACAATAAGATATTTTTAAAACGAGTTTTATCACACACAACCCGCCCCCCCCAAAAAATGGTACTTCTCTCTTTCCCCTTCTGTTCCAGGGGAGGAGCTGGGGGCAGCCTCCTCCCCTAGAGATCAGCCAAAATGGGTAGCTGCTGCTTTTTGTGTTCTTCCCTTGGCAGAGCCGCACATGTGCACAGCCCGGACCTCTGGGAGTACAGGGCTGGCGGGATCCTCTGCCACTTGGTGAAGGTGCTCTGCGGTAGTGTTGGGGGGAGTTGGAACAGACGTCCTTAGTAGTTTCTTGTATCTATGAGAGTCCAGGTTCCAAGATGCTCTGATGTTCATTTTTCTCCTCATGTCTTGGTTGATCTGAACCAAGCACTGACATAAAGTTGTAAGATGGGAAAGACTCATCCACTTACTCCCTACCCCCAGACCCCTCCCATGAAAATACCTGTAATAACACCTATAGTACTACATATAAACATTAAGCGAGGTTGGCAAAGAAAAGACAGATCAGGGGTACAAACGGGGAATAACAGGAAAATTAACTTAATTGCAGCTACTTTATTTAATGAGCATAATTTATATTCAGAACAGAATTTCTGGCAAATACAGCTCCCTTTAAAACGACAAACGACGAAGTCACTCCCCACTTTAGGACATATCCCTGGAATGAGAGGGTCCTAAAGGACAAAAGTAGGTGTGTGTGTGTGTGTGTGTGTGTGTGTGTGTGTGTGTGTGTGACCAAACAGTGATGACATTTCCCCCTATGATCTAATGTCCTTCATTGAAAACGAGGGTGCCCTGTGCTGCACCAAGTGTCTCTGCGGGCTGTATTTTAGACAAAGAATTACAGGCACGGAAATAACGAAGTCGTTTTCCCCATTGGAACCCGAGGGGCAGCTCCCAGCTCTGTGGCCTGACCTCTGCCCTTCATCAGTGACTTCCCCTCGTCCACAGTGACTCTCCCTACTACACACCTCCAGACCCAAGGTGCGTTCCCGTAAGCATCCGAAATGAAAGAATAACAAAAGGCCCTCCCAGGCCCTCATCCCGACAGCGAGGTCATCGTATGTTAATGAAGCCAGAGGAGACACCGCGCGGCGCCTCCTGAGAGCGCGCCCGCGGGTTCGGGGCTCTCCCGCGCGCCACTGCGGCGCAGCCACAAAATACCGCGCGCTGCCGCAGACCCTCCTGCCTCGAGGGGGAGGGGTCTTGCCCGCCACTCTGAGTTCCCGAGCTGGATCCCTCACATCTGGAAGATGCCTCCTTGCTCCGGTTTCCTGCTTTCCACCGCAGTGATGGCGGGGATGGGAGCGGCGCATCAGAATCACTTGTAGGGCTTTTCGAACTCCACCGCCCCCTCCCCAAATTCTAGTCCACTCGTCCAGAGGAAGAAAATCTCAGAATATGCAGGGTAAGGTGGACTGGTGGAGTTTTCAAAAGCCCCACAGGTGATACTAGATGTGCGCCCTCAAGACACACGCACACGCGCACAGACACACATCTTGTGACTCAAGAGACTAAACAGGTCAGCTGGATACTCTCTCCATGACTCTCCACCCCTTCCCTAGCTTATATTTGTCAAGGTGTCGTGTTCTATTCAGCTGTCCTTTAAGCTTCCCTAGCCCAGGAGCTTTGCGGAGTGCCTCAAAGTCCGGAACCCTGCGGGACCGTCAGAGGCTTTGGCGCCCAGCGGTTAGGCAAAGTGTCCCCGCTTCTTGCCGCCCGCGCACCCTGGAGCACGAACTGGATACCAAGGAGCCAAGTTAAGTGTAGAAGGGGAGAAATCTGACTAGTTGCTTCAGCGAACTGCCTGAAGCGAGGCCGCCTCCCGCCCGCACACCTTTGACGTTTGGAAGGTCCTCCGAAGCCAAAAGGGAGCCAGTGGCCAGACCGTGCCGCTCCCGGTGCCCTCATCGTTCCAGCGGGGGATCTCCTCTTAAAGAAGATTTGGGGCAGGTGGCACCGTCGGGGTGGGTGCAGTGGCCTCGGCTGCAGCTCCTTCCCCTGGCCACGGAACTAGCTCCCACTTTGCCCTCCTTTCCAAGTTGCTGCAGCCCGCGCCCAGGAGCCCGAGCACCCCTCTGCCGCGCAGGCCGCTGCCTTACCTCTTACCAGGCAACACTTGGTTGTGCGGTACCCCGAAGCGCTCTTTCCTCGGGGCTTATTCCCTTACGTGGGACGAAAGAGGAACCGAGAGACAAGGGACCGAAGCCGGCGTCTGGGCGTCTTCCCGCCCGCGCAGCGCTCTTGGGAGGGGATGGCAGCCCGAGGGGGCGCCGCGGAACTCGGGCGGCCAGGCTGGGGTCAGGCAGCGCCAGGGTCTCCGCTCCGGTACCCACGGCTCCCAAGCAGTCAGCGTCGGCTGTCGACTACTACGGCACTGCGGCGCCCTGCCCCTAGCCGCTTGGTAAGTCCGGCTGCCACTCTCAGCGCGGA